TGATGCTGACCACATCACCCATCTTGTGCGGATTGGTCTATAAAAATATAGGTCTAGCCCTATATGCCCTATATGCCTAAAGGCCTGGAAAAGGGTCCTTTACTTTTTTTTTTCATTGGAGTGTCTGCTGCATTTAAGGACTGAGCAGGCATGGGAATGCCCATTGTGCAAAGCCGTCGATTGTGATCACATACAATTTTTTCATTACTTTAAAGCCCAAATCTGGCTGTTGTCGCAGCCCTAATATAACCTAACATTTGGACAGGGTTTCCGGGACTTACACCCGGGTGATTCTCATACGAATAGTGGCACTTTGTGCCACTGAGTGTTTATTTGCGGTCCTGGTAGGGCTGAACTTCATTTATTCATTCCCCCCTTCCCCTCTCTTGGATTCTAAAAGTAAGCGGGTAAAGAACCATTTCCCTTCCTTAAGTACATCAGGCATATAATGCTAGGTTTATATTTTTAAAGATCAGTGGACACTCAGTGAAAGATTTCTAATTTTCTCACATGTGACCTTTTTTAAAAAGTGTATTGTTTGTTATAGTTAAAACTGAAGCTTAAAATTATGACACCGTTTTGTAGATGTAACTCAGATGGCTGTTTTTTTCTGTACGCTTGTCATGTATGAGGTTTATAATTATCCTGAGAACATATGTGTGCAATACATTTGTTTCCAAAGTTCATTTGCATATTGTTATCTTGGTTGTTGAAATATGTGCTGAAGGTTTAAGCCATGTGGACTTAGAATATCCATATCCAAGCCACGTGGACTTAGAATATCCATATCCAAGCCATGTGGACTTAGAATATCCATATCCAAGCCATGTGGACTTAGAATATCCATATCCAAGCCATGTGGACTTAGAATATCCATAACTAAGCCATGAGGACTTAAAATATCCATATCTAAGCCATGTGGACTTAGAATATCCATATCCAAGCCATGTGGACTTAGAATATCCATATCCAAGCCATGTGGACTTAGAATATCCATATCCAAGCCATGTGGACTTAGAATATCCATATCCAAGCCATGTAGACTTAGAATATACATACCCAAGCCCGGTGGACTTAGAATATCCATATCTAAGCCATATGGACTTATAATAGCCATATCCATGCCATATGGACTTAGAATATCCATATCCATGCCATATGGACTTAGAATATCCATATCCAAGACATGTGGACTTAGAATATCCATATCCAAGCCACATGACAACAAGGACTGAATGTTGAATGCTGAATTAAGACTCGACATCACAGCATTTGGGGCACTCTTATAAACACTCCGTACCAGTCTTCAGCAGCAAACAAAGAGTTCCAATTTTGATGGTACCAGTAACTGTCTGATTGTATATCTGTCTCGCCTCTCCTTTGAGTGCTGAGCATCGGCCAGATCCCCTGGTAACTCCTCGTGCAATACACCAGTAGACATGCATGATTTGTCAAAGGTTGTCATAACAATGGGGAGGTAATGCATGAGTCAAATACCTGCCACTGTAGATACCAAGATTGGGTCACTGACTGATCAGCATTCATGCCCAGAAGATGTCGTCATTTGCACAAATGGGTCTGTGAAACGCAGATCAAGATCAGCATGAGCATACACTGTACAAAGGATGGGGAAAACAATAAAAAAGGACACCAGATGACTCAAGCTTGACTGTGGAGATAACTGCTGCTTTCAGAGCCCTCGCATGGGTAGCAGAACGAGCGGCTACACATGCTGTAATAGTTTCAGACTCTGTGAACATGCTTCCGAAAATCGCTACAGATAGTCTAAGCTCTGAAAGGTAGAAAACATTAGGAAGTCGCAATTAACCTCTATCATCTGGATCTATACACCTGGGCTCGCAGGAGTACACGGTGATGAAAGAGCTGACCAGCTGGTAAGTAAGGCACCCGTGAAAACGGGAAGAAGCATGGACAGTGCTGACATCATTAACACTGTACAGACTAGGTTGGGGGATAACGGCGAATATCTTACGCTAACACGACTGCGTGACTGAGAAGTTAATCTTGGTGAAGCACGTCTATATCGTCTTCGAGGGAAAGACATGAGATACTATAACCAACTCCTCATGGGAACAATCCGTAGAGGTACACTGGAGTGGCTGTGCGGCATTTGAGGACTGAGCACGCATGGGGATGCCTGATGTGCAAAGACATCGATGGTGATAACATAACATAACTCCTCGTGCAGCGCCATTCTTCTCAGACTGTAATGATCTATTTGTGTCTCTGCACTGTTCACTCGCTCCCAAACGAGCCTCACGACATCTAGCTTGAAATACATCAATTCACCATCAAGTGTGACAACAAGGACTTAGAATATCCATACCCAAGCACAAAGACAGAAAAGTCATATGATTCCCCCCCCCCCCACTCCCCTACCCTGGGAGAAAATAGAGATTATTCTCAAACTTTAAGGTATTGCCACTGGCATGTGGGAATCTAGAAGTAATAATTCACTTAACCAGTGTTTCCCAACATTTTTGTGTGCCATGCCCCACCATTCTAAAATTCGTATGCCTCCTATATAACTTAAACTCTGGACGAGTCTATTTTCGAATTCCCCCTCCCCACAGTCAAATTGCCCCCTAACAATCCCCTCCGATATTTTCAATGTGTCCCTGTACCCATGAAGAGATGCTATAATTCATTGGCTCACCTTCCCATGTGGGTTCCAGGGCCCTATTAGAGGGGGAAAAGGGGGGGGGGGATAAATCACTTTAAAGAAAAAGCAAAATTATGGGTGTTTTTCTTCGAAGAAGGATTGCATCTGCTAGGAAAAGAACCAACAGCCTGCATACAAACAAGTCACATTGCGGATGTGCACGCGAAACCCACTTTCTGTCTGCTGAACTAAATAAAAATATCAGCTTTCACTTATTTATTAGGAAATGGTATAAATTTCAGACCACCTAGGTTAACCTGTTTGCGTCTATTGCGAAGGCGCTGATTTGATTTGATTCAAGAACCGACATCACAGCACTCGGGTCATTCCCATAAGCGCTCCGTCCCCATCTTCAGCAGCCAGCAAAGAGTTCCAATACTAAGGGTGCCAGTAGCTTGCGAAAGCGCTTTGTAATGCCAGGGTGCCGGATTTGATCTCAGCAGCGGACGATTGGTTTCGACACTGAATGTACAATCTGCCTAGAAAAACCACAACAACGAAAAACATTCTGGGGTTGGTTCTGAAACGTCCTGTAAAGGATACGCAGCTAACTTATAGGTTAACATGGAGACGAACACACTGAACTGTAGGTAGACAGTTTCCCATTTGTTACGTATTACACGTAAAACAGAACAATTTGAAAAAAAAAATTGTCAGGATATTCCAGAGTTCAAGAGGTATGTATATGTATTTTCATAAACTGATATTCTTGCCTTTATTTTAACTTCTTGTTTTACGTCGAAATAAAAGACAGAGCTTCTGTTGCCGACGTATAATTCTTCTCTTTCGTTTGTATTGTTTTTTCAAATGCAGAATTTGTTCAGTCACAAGCAGTAGATACATCTCAAAACGGGCGTCACTAAATAGCCTCCCTCACCCTTCCCCGAAACAATGGAAAGCTTTCCTTGCAAAAGAAAGTATGAATAGTCCAGCAACAAGTTGTAAGATGCGTTTCAGAGCAGGTCTAAACGACAAAAAGAGGGTGTCATGTATGAATAGATAGACCCTGTGCCTCCGCTACATGCATGTCGTAAGAGTCGACTTATTTGGGGCATCCTTCGAAGTAGGAGTACATCTGCCTAAAAGGAAAGATATAAACCCAAACGAAAAGTATATCAGCGAGCTTCACAATATAACAAACAAAACGTGAACGTCGCGGATGTGGAGTCTTCGTCAGCACATATACAAATTAAACAATACTACACAAATACACACTTTCCCTAATCTGCGTGTCTCGAAGCAGCCAGGTCGATGTCTAACCAATTTTGATTCAGTTTTACTTTTGTTGTTAATGTCAGTATTTAGCAATGGTAATACGAGGCGCGTGTTTTAAGTACGTCTAGTTTTGACTGCACCGACAATCTCGCCCAGGTGATGTGAAAACTTATACAGATAGATTAGTGTTGAGAGGCAGAAGAAAGTCGGGAGCTCGAATGGACGTCGCCTAGGGCAACAAAGCTTGGCTTATGACACCTCAACATCTAGTTTAAGAATGAAGGTGGGGGCAGTCACTGCAACCTTTTGCTGGCTTGAGACTCATCAGTACACACATGTCGTAATTGTACAGACTCCAGAGCATGTTGAGAAAGGTGGAGACAAGTATGCTTCGTGAAGAATGGCAAACATCGCTTCAGTGGTCACAGATAGTTAGCGTTCTTTGAATATTCCCCCACAGGATATACTGGTGTATTAGGAAATAAACAGGCAGGTAGATTTACTGGTTCTGCATGACTTGTTGGTGAACCGATGCACGACCAGCTAGATGTTGTAAGGGCTCTTTGGGCGCTAGTGAACAGTGCGGAAGCACTAGTGGATCATTATGGTCTGAAGAGAATTGTACTGCGAAAAATGACCAGGGGATCTGGTCGATGATCGGCACTCATCGGAAAGGTGAGATGGATATACAATCAGACTGCTATTGGTACCACTGGAATTATAACTCTGCGCTTGCTGCTGAAGATGGGGATGGAGCCTGTATAGGAATGTCCCGAGTGCTGTATGTCCATTCTTAATTAAACATTATCTGTATATTACAAAGGTATACATATTTTGTAGTTTTCTGAGATTAGCTTGTGTAATTTAAGACGATAGGGGCCTCATGGTTTTATATATTTAAGGCCGTCAACAAGTTTAAATTCGACCATGTAATAATAGCAACAGAAAGCACAATATCTACAGTATAGTTAAATATTATATATATATATATATATATATATATATATATACACCTCTTAGTTTGTGGATGATAATATTTGGGCAAATTTTAGTAATAATACTTTCAGGTCACGTGACCAGCGTAACAGTTAACAGACCAAACATGGCCGGCAAGGATGCGATCCCTACTAAAACTAAGGAAGAATTCAATAAATACAGGAAATTACTACTTGTAAATCTTCCTCCAAGTACAGAAGGCGTAAGTCTTCATTTAAAACATAATGTGTTCACATAATTAATGTTTACAGCAGCAGCTGCTAATGTTTGCAAGATATAAATAACAAATAATAACGCGGCGCAATTTCCTACTACATCCTACATAAAAATTAAAACTGATCATCATCATCAGTGTATATCATTTTATTTAGTGAAGTGTGTCGAGTGTCGGAAGTTTGTCACCAGGCATACTTTTTTCACTCTTAAATAATAATTGGTATTAGATTTTATTTAATCTTATATAATAAAAACAAAATCTAGTCCCAAAAAAAAGGTGCGTTACCGTTATGTAGCTACTTCAGTAAAATTTTTTAAATGCCGTCTACACCAATAAAACCAGCACAGTTAGATAGCTGTAAACAATCTCTTTCCAATAGTACCTCATTTAGGCTTGTATGTCATTTCTGAGCTGAGATATGTAGGTTTTGTGGAGATGAGATGTAAGAAACAGCCGCTAAAACTTGTGACCCAGAAACAAGAAGTTTTTTTCTGCGCAACCTACTGCGCAGTTCTGTATCGACTTTGTTTACATTGGACTGTCATTGGACAAGATGGCAGGCAATGAGTCACAGCCACTGGCTGAGCCAGCGATTGCCTGAAAAATGTCACTGTACATCTACCTAGCCACCGTGCAAAAAGAAATTTTTTACACAAATGTAAAATTGGACGGAGAATTCAATTATAACTAGCATTACCAGGACGAGTAACAGTTAAAGCCTAAAGCTAACCTCGAATTTACCGCTATTTTCAATCAAACTGATGACTAACAGAAAAACAAGAGGACGTCCGGCTGTCGTAGACATGCGCTGTTAATGGGGTTCCCTCCTGCTGTTTTCAGCTATTTATAGCTGGTCCAAATTCCCACCAATGGCAAAATTTCATGAGAGATTTGGACCCATCCGGAAACCAGCTGAGATTTCCCGAAACAAGTTGCGAACGGTTTCCAGGTAACGGAAATTGCCCGAAAAGACCGCCAATTGCCGAAACTGTAGTCCAAATCTGTCATGAAATTTTGCCAATCCACACCACGCATAGCGGCATGGAAAATACTGTCGGCGGTGCCAGAAGTGCGCAATTAAAGTCGCTGGAAGTCCACAATTTACATGTTAGTGAGGCCCTGTCAGGGTGTATTTTTGGCCACCATAATATGGGGCCGTTATTCGGAGGATAGCCTAATAGCCTTATCAAGGATTCAAACCTCATCAGTACCAGACGAGAGCCGCAGAGCTCACTAGTCCTTAGTACAATAGTAGTAGCTTTTTAAAATTACTACTAACTTTTGCAAAAGTAAGAAATGAATGAATTAACTAACTGTGACAATTTTTAAAATCAAAAGTGTAGCTAACATAGTACTACTGCTGTTACAGTGCGGCAAAGTCGCAGAAACAGGTCCAAGTTAACATGTCGCTGAGACCCTGTTAGAGCATTTGTTTCGTTATTCGGAGTTGATCCTAGTTTTGCCGCAATTTTTTCCTTGGCAGGAACTCCGCATTTTGCATAAGACTGAGGCCCTGTTAGGGTATTTGTTTGGCCGCCATAGTATGGGGTAGAAGTTCGAAGGAGAGCCGAAATTACTGTTTCAAACTGACAATTTTTTTTTTTTTAATGAACTGGTATTCAAACCTGATTAACTCCAGCACCTTGCCGAAGGAGAAAGTGTACATTTACTCACATCGGGAGTTGACATGTTTGAATCTCAATGTCATTATATCTTTCAATTGTATATGTAGTCTAGTATGCCTTATAATTTCTTTCTTCTACTTTTGGAAATGTTGAATAATTTACCAGTAGGAATGCTTTTTTCCAGTGCCTTTGGAGATTCTGCGCCAGGTCTTGGTTAGATATAAAAGAGCTACGATATAGCAGTAGTCAGTACAACCTGTTGCTTTAATATCCTGCACACTGGGCCATAACTTCAGAAGAAGATGTGCATTGGGGAGCATACTAAGAAGAGAAATTGCAACCTGAGAAAACTTAATTTTACGACCAGACTCTTAGCCCTGGTTGGTAGATGGTCCAGGAGGAAAGCTCCCACAAGTTGGTAAACTGAGCACAGCGCTCTTTTTGTTCACCAGCCGTCAACTCCACCTCTGGACTTAAGTCTTGCCACAGAACGTGAGTGTTGCGTCTACATCTATTTTACAGATCTGACTCATTTGTTTTGCAGAATGTTGGTTCCTCGTCTCAGACAGATGCACTCCGACTTCGAAGGAAACTCCCAGTCAGTCGACTCTTACAACATGCTTTTGAGTAGGCAGTGGCTTTGTTCCATTCCAGTCCTCTGTCAGTCAGGGACTGTCAGATGTTTCCCTAGTGGACCCTGGATCGCTCTGGATGTGTCTTTTATATATCAGAGTATTATGGACCAAGAAGTGGAAAAATACGATCTTCCCCATCTGAAAATCAGTGGGGACTATCTCACAGATAGTATTGTTTCTGGGAAACTGAAATATCTGCCATATTAAACATCCTAGTGGTTTGAGAGAACAGTAATGAAGGGTGTGGTTCTTGGAAGAAGAGGCATAGGTTGACCAGCACAGTGGTGGACACAGAATACCCTGGATATGAAATTTCATGAGACGAGAACAATGGCAAGGGACTGAGTGGCTTTCTGGCAGACCATGATGAAATTGAAATATGCTGCCCTAAATCCTGAGATTCAAGGCGTTCTCCTGCCATGTCAACATCATCTTAAAAACGTGGAACATGTATGGGCATAAAAGAGTTAATATATCTGAAACTTGAGGATTAAGGGAGAATATGTTTAATATTTTTTAATGCTGAGATTAAAGAAAATAGTGTATATATAATACGTTTTGCTATTTTTGTTTTGTTTCAGGAAATACAAGAGTTTCTTGGTAGTTTCAGTGCCAGTAAAATTAACATAAGTGATTCATTAGATTCTGGTAAGGTTTGCCTTTCTGCTACCAACTGTGTCTGTATTTGTGTGTGTGTATGCATGTGAGAGAGACAGAGAGAGAGAGATTGAGAAATACCAGGTGAGGAAGAAATGGATGAGATGGAGAAATACCAGGTGAGGAAGAAGGAGATGGGGCAGAGAAATTTGTTTTTATGAATTATGCAGTTACAAATTTAATTTTAATTTTTCTCTCCTATCATAAATAACAAAGATTTTGTTTACAGCTAGACTGCGTAAACAAACATCTTTTTTTCTGTTGCCTTATTTGCAGTTTATTGAAAACACACCGATTCAAAGCAGACATCAGCATGCTTACAGTTAATTGAGTAATGGGAACTTTACAAAACGTCACATATTGCTGCTCATATGAATTCATTTCTAAACAATCTTCACGTGTATGTCAGTTGCTGTCCATTCTGTTAAAAAAAAAAATCATACACACTTAAAAAAAAATGTTGTCAAGCAAAGATCACATATGCACTTTTCCCCTTTAAGAAAACAGCAGCACCTGTGCAATTGTAAATTATAAAATCATTAGGCCATATGCAACAATTTTTATTGATCCTCACAAGAGTTTTCTGGATGTTTGTTAAAGTTTAAATAAAGTCAGGACTTTTGAAACGTACTATAACTGATACTTTGGTTGAAACATTTGGTTGTGCCTGTGGAAGTCTGTCTGTTTCCTTTGATGAGTTTCCTAATATTGTGTATTGTGTTCAGTTAGTTTTCAGTAACGGCTCAACAAAAGTCACCCCCGTTTTCAACGTCACACCGAGCTTAATGCTGTATTCAGTTTAATTTAATCATAATTAAATCCATCTCCCTCCTATGCTGCCAAGAAGAGCTGCAGTACTATTATCTGCCAGTTGAAAATTCTCTTCTTCGCGTTAGCGGGTTGTAAACTCTGGCGGAAAGTTCTGGTCATTTGTCTGCTTTAGTCTTCAGAGCCTGAGTGTTGCATGCGCATCCGTTAAATAGATCTGACCGACTTTTATGCATTTTGTTGGTTTCCTGACCTCTCAGGCAGATGCACTCCCACCTAGAAGAAAGCCCCCAGTTAGTTGACTCTGATGACATGCTTGTTGGGGAGGCAGTGGGTCTGTTCTTGTTTTCCCCGCAATAGGACTCCGATACCCCCACGGGGAAGTTGCAGATTAAAAGTAAGCTTTTTTTTTTCCTGACCTGGGCTTTCAAGTCAACCTATCCTTAAATGGGTACATGGTAAAGTCCTGGGAAGTAAAGGTGGCCGGAGTAATGTTGACCACATCACCCACCGAGGGCCGATTGGTCTATAAAAGTATGATTCTAGTCTCATCTGTGTGGTGCGCCACTCACGTGTAAAGGGACCTTCACTTGACTTGACCATGTTTTCTTATCATATGACTGTTGTATGTCAGCTGTTGTCACACTGTCTGATGGAGATCAACTTGATGAGGCGGTTACAAAGCTCAACAACAAGCAGTTCAAAGACAACATTGTCAGGGCAAAACCGGGTGTCAGCAGCCACCTGCTGTGTGTGGCACACATCCCGCCGACCTACACAGATTTCAAATTCCGGGAATTCTGTAAAAAGTATGGCCCTGTGGAGTACTGTTACGTCATGCGGACAGCCAGTGGTAAGTTTTCCAGATTTGTATTAATCAGATTGTATCATATAGTAGAGGGAATTAAATGGTATGATAGAATCACTAATGTTGAGCTTTGGGGAGTCCTAAACAAGTTCCAGGGGAGGAAAAAAGTCACTGGCATTGGATAGGACACATTGAGAAAAACCTGAGAACAAATATAATTAGAATTTCTTTTTACTGGAACCCACAGGAGCTGTCAGAAACCTGGTTTACTGCCATGACGGCATAAGGCTCGCTGTTTAGGCTCGTGACAGACTACCTCTGAACACACTAAGCTAAACACTTACAGAGCACAAACACCAAGCTTTAATGTACAGAACAGTCTACAGTAGGCAGTTCGCCTCAAAAGTAGTGGGTAACCCTGATCCTAAACAAAGGTCGTATGGACTTTACAATCGCCCTCACTCTACTGGAACATCCCGTTCTATGGATCCTAATAGGTTCAACCCACCTGCTCTTGTTCCAAGCTCTTTCCTCTGCCACTGGACTCCACACCGAGACCGGGGAGCGTCTTCAGAGTTTGGGCCACAATGTGCATGGATAGATCAAATCACAAAATACTACATCAGCCTTGCTAACATCATAACTGCGATACTAACAAGCTACCCACTGAACGCTACACAAGATACTTTGTCGGACGCAGTACAACACACAAACTAATGCCACTGTCCAGCTCAACACATTATTACAAGAACTACCTGTCACTACAGTTAAATCTATACACGCTGTAATCTGGCAAAACTAGTCACAAGTCCTGGAACTCCTTGATACTCTATAGTTGCCCTCTCCATTGGTTTTTTTGTTTCACTTGAACAGTTCAATCCTCAGTCTATGCAGTCCTTGTGGCTACATTAACGATCAACACGTACCATCATGGAGTTCTTTGAGACGTCTGTTCCTGTCGGCTGAGCTATCGGTCATGCTGCGGTCACTGCATACAAATATGGTCATTCACTATCATCCCCAGTTTTATGTCCCATACCCGCACTAGACTCTGACATGGGCATGGAAATAAAGACAGACCAAAACAAAAACAAAATTGACAAGTGAGATAGAGAGGGAAGTTAAGAAGGTGGGGAAGACATAAAATGAACTGCATGCAATATTGAAGGATAGAACAACTTGACAGGGTGTATGCTCTGGAGGTAACAGAAGAAGCAGAATGTTTTTTCTGTCTTTATGTTCTTTTATAATAATAGTTTTTTTTTATAATTCTTCTTCACATTCACTGGCTGTAAGCTCCAGCAGAAAGTTCTGGTTGTTCGTCCACCTCTGGACTTGAGTCTTTGTCCAGGACCTATGTGTTGCGTGCACATTCACACATACAGCATTGTTTAATACAGGGTAAGAGGGGCAGGGGCTGACCAGCTGGAAGATGGGAACAATACTTAGGAGACACACCTTAGACAGGAGATCGCATGAAGTGGGAGAGCTGGTGAGAGATCAAGTTTCAAACTTGTTGAAATAAAAACGACAATTTGTAAAGTACCTGCTGCATGATGTTGACCCGGTTATTAGTGGAGCATTTACTGTTGCAGGACTCAGCAAAGGATACGGTTTGGTCGAATTCAGCACGGATGCCGAGCAAGTAGAGCACATAAAATCTGAAATAGACTGGCAGTCACTAGATGGACATATTTTACACGCCGATTTTGTGGCAAGCTCCTACCAGACCTGGGAGGGTTTGCAGTCCAGGTGCCTCTTTCTCCACAATATGCCAGAAAACTTTGTAGACGTGTCAAAGCTGAGGGAGATCTTTGGTTGCATTTCAAATCCTGTCTACTGCCAGGTTAGTGTGTGTTCATTTTTCTTTTTATGTTGTTGCTTGTTTTAGGCTGATGTGGGTTGTTTGTGGTCGTGTTAATAATAAAATCATGCCAAATTATGTGGAAGCTGTCAGATTATTTTATAGAAGATTGATGAGTTTTATGGGCTCATAAAAAGGGTAAGGACAATTTGTGGATGGAAATCAGCTGGCAAAGAGAGCTTGTTATTTTCTTCAGAAGAGGACCCTGGCTTTCATCGGAAAGGGAAAACTAGTGTAGATCTTTTACTGGTAAAGTTAAAGACGTAGAAAGGCAAAAGTTAGCAGGGAATGAAGTTAGAGATGATTTTTCACCATGGCTTTGAGGAAAATCTCTCTGTATGGGTTCTGGGGCTCTATTTAAAAAAAAGAGGGGGGGGGGGAGTGGTCAACTTCTCCCCTACCACGCATGCCATAAAAGGTGACTTATTAAAATTGTGTTGGGTTGGATGGCATAGATATGTAGTCTAGATGTTTCCTGCAACACTGCGTGGTCCTTGAATATGGAAAAAGAAGACAAGGAGTAAATGCAGATAACTTAAAGGCTGTCATTTTGCTATATCATAAGATCGCTGTAATCATGCATTCGGTCTTCTCTTATCTCACCCCCATCCAAGTATTGATCTCTTTGCTATTACCCCATCAATCTTACCAGTTGTAACCAAGTTCTTGAGTCCATTCCATCCTCTAACATTAAACCAAACCCCCCCCCCCCAAAAAAAAAAAAAAAAAAACACACACGCTGACTGTCTATATCTAGTCTCTTGTCTAATTTCACTAATCAGCTTATGGTTTTAATCTGTCTCGAGGAGGAGCTATGGAGATCGTGTTTTGTGTGACGCTCTCGGCAGGCAGCTAGCTTTACTGGGGAGAGAGACTGAACCATGTGGAATAAAACCCGGTGCAAGGGAGTCGATCCTCTCACTTTTACCTTTGCCTTACACGGAGGACTGCCTCATGTGTTTTTCTATTATGCTATTCTTTTCATTCTTCTCAAAAACATGTCCATTGTGAGTAAGTCGTTTTCAGTTTGTCTGCTCATTGTCTTTGTCTTTGCCTCACATGTCTCGCGGAGGACTGCCTCATGTGTTTTTCTATTATGCTATTCTTTTCATTCTTCTCAAAAAAAATTCCATTGTGAGTAAGTCGTTTTCAGTTTGTCTGCTCCTTGTCTTTGCCTCACATGTCTTGCGGAGGACTGCCTCATGTGTTTTTCTATTAAGCTATTCTTTTCATTCTTCTCAAAAACATGTCCATTGTGAGTAAGTCGTTTTCAGTTTGCTCATTGTCTTTGTCTTTGCCTCACATGTCTCGTGGAGGACTGCCTCATGTGTTTTTCTATTATGCTATTCTTTTCATTCTTCTCAAAAACATGTCTGTTGTGAGTAAGTTGTTTTCAGTTTGTCTGCTCATTGTCTTTGCCTCACATGTACATACCAACAAAAGTTCTATATATATATGTAACGCCTCACAGCATCAGGGTAGGAAGAGATCTCTGGAACGGGCCCTTCTGTTCGCTTCGTATAAAATACTTTTCAGTATTTCTGATATTTGTGCAGTCCATATTATGTATGGTCAACCTCTGGCTCTGTTGCCGTTGTATCTGTATAACATTGCTTTCTCTGTTGTGCCCTGTCTGATGCCAAGCTTGTTACATGGCCAAACCATTTGACTTGTTGTCTGCCTATAAAGTTCAATATTGGTTCTGTGCCGACTCTCCTCCTGATATCATTCCTAAGTCGATCTTTCCTCGTTACACCTAGCATAATACGTTAACAATTAATTTCTGCTGTGGCTATTTTCCGACTTTTATAGACAGTGTCCATATTTGACATTGATAACATATCGTTGGTAAGAATATATCTTTCAGCTTGTCAAAAAAATACTCTTTTCAGATCATAATTAAAGAAGAAAAGTCGCTAGGCTTCGGCATCATAGAGTTTCGCACAGCAGAAGATGCTGAGAAAACCTGGCTAAAGTTGAAAAACGAGAAAATAGCTGGAAAGGATGTGGTCATGACAGAGTACATCCAGGATGAAAGGTAGAACAAGTTGGAGGTCCATTGCAGCTACTTTTGTGGCGGAGATTATAGTTTTTTAATGTAATTAGGTCCTAGTCTCTTCTGCTGTGTGACTGTCTCCTGTGCAAAAACAAGAACAAGGACTTTAAAAAAAAAACACCTAGTGTTCGAAAATCACGAAATTGTTAAACGCTTTCCCTAACCTCTAAGTCACAGAAATTGACACAAAGGAAAGGACATAATTAAAATATGCAGCTTTGGTGAGTTTATCTGTGAGGTCAGAGACAGTTTTGGAAGTCTATCAGCATATAAAGATTTTTATTGTCTGTAGTGCCTAGAAAAACCACAACAGCCAACAAAGAATGCTGGGGTTGGTTCTGCAATGTCCTGTAAAGGATACGCAACTAACTTTAGTGTGGGAATTTGTTAGTCCTTTCCAACCAACACAGACTGAGGTATGACCTCAGCCTTTGACAGTATTGACTAAAGTGAGTTCACAAATTCTTGCTGATGTTAAAAAAAAAGTTTTGATATCTCACTTGTGAAATATAAATGGATGAAATTATCCCCATTTTGTGCAATTTCCTCTGGCATAAGAAAGGAGCAAATATGGGGTGACTCATTTGCTGTGCAGTTGGAACCCCAGTGATTCAAAGACCCATTTCCATGCCTTTAGGGGTAAAACAGGTGGTGTTTTTTTGTACTAATTAGTACTCGATATTTGATATGGACACTGGCCACATTTTCTCTTTTTCCTGATACCTTTTTGAAGCTGGCCTGACCTAGGAGCCGAGGGGAGCTTCTTTCTTGTATTGCATTCTCATCAGCCAGCCAGCTAGTTATTCAGTCTACCAGACCAATCAGCTAATGAGCCAGTCTGCAGAACAACCAAGCAGCCAGTTAGCAAAAGCACAAGTCAACCAACCAGTCTGTGAGCTGATCCACTAACCAGCGAACCAGCCTACCAACCATTGCACTAACCAGTCTATCAACCAATCCACCAACCCACCAATCTACGAAACACTAAGCAACAAGCTAGCTAACTGATTTGAGTTTTGTGTTTTGTTTTGTTGTTTAGAATAACAAGGAAGAAAAGGACGACCTCTCACAAGAACCTGTAGCCATGCCAGTAATAGCTGGAAATGCTATAGCCATCAGTCTCACAAAGCAAATGCCTAGATGTGAGTATTTTTTCATCATCACTGTCACTCCTTCTGGAGCATGAGTGTTAGCAAACAGCGATAGCTTCTTTCAGGAAGCCTGTCTCAAAGCACTCTGTCTAAAAATATCATATTTTAAAAGACACATTAGAAGTTGGTATGTATGGAGAGAGAGAGCATAAATTGATAAAGAAAAGAGAATGAGAATTGGGGGAGGGGGGAAAAAGAAGAGAGAGGGGAAATACATGATTTGAGATTACTGCTGTAGGTATTCTTCTGTCTTTGATGTTTTAACTCTTTGAGTCCCAAGGAACGCATTATCCGTTCATAGGTTCCTACCTAGAAGCCCAATGAACGCAAGATGCGCCGATTTTATGGCTCTCTTTGCTACCCCCTGGGACTCAAAGAGTTAATGAAGCGTAGACTGTCAGCCAACTAATTTCACGTCATTATGTTCCCTGAGTAAAATAGACTTGGTGGTGTGCAATGCTAAGCAAGTCATTTTATATGGCACACATAACCTAGTCACAGTTATAACCAAAAGCTGCCTCTTCAGGGATGCGGGTTGAACATGATGATGTTATTTTTAAATTTTCTTTTTTAGCAAAACAACAAAACAGTGGAGAGAACTAATCAGACAATTAACAGCAACTGGTGACCCAGCGACATAGTGTTTCGACAAGAATTATAATGTATCTAAAATTGTCTTTCTCCCCACTGACGGGAGACTTGTTTTTCTCCCCACTGATGGGAGACTTTATGCTTGATGTTCTTCCTAGTGATGGGAGAGTCTTATGTTTTTCTCCCTGGTGATGAGAGTCGTTTGTTTTTCTCCACAGTGATGGGAGACTTTATATTTGTTATTCTCCCCAGTTATGGGAAACTTTATGTTTGTTATTCTACCTAATGATGGGAGACTTGTTTTTCTCCCCAGTGATGGGAGACTTTATGCTAGTGCTCCATGAGCTGCAGGAGGCTTATGTATCCCAGATGATGTCCCCCGAGAACAAACCAGGTAACAACCCTAATTAATTTTATTTTATTCTGTATTCATTGTAGTAAAGTTAATGTGTTTTTTTTAAACAGTTTTTGTAGTTTATTTATTGCAGTTATTTTTATCACCTCCTTAGTTAATTTTAAAGTGATTCTGTAAAAAATAAAATCTCTGGAAACATTGATTTGTAATGAACTTATTTGCACTCAGAGATGCAGAGCCAAGAATTAGAACCATGAGTACACACTAGATTGTTATGAGTGCCAATTCATCATCAATTTTTTAAAATGCAGTTATGCACGTTTACAGTCTCGTTCTACTTTCTGTTCTCTCCTGTGCAATCCTTTCAGTATGGGTGGGATCCTCCAATCCTGCTTTATGTTCTCTCCTGTGCAATCCTTTCAGTGTGGGTGGAATCCTCCAATCCTGCTTTATGTTCTCTCCTGTGCAATCCTTTCAGTGTGGGTGGAATTCTCCAATCCTGCTTTATGTTCTCTCCTGTGCAATCCTTTCAGTGTGGGTGGAATACTCCAATCCTGCTTTATGTTCTCTCCTGTGCAATCCTTTCAGTATGGGTGGAATCCTTCGGTCCTGCTTTCTCTTCTCTCCTGTGCAATCCTTTCAGTATGGGTGGAATCCTTCCATCCTATTTTCTATTCTCTCCTGTGCAATCCTTTCAGTATGGGTGGAATCCTCCTACCCTATTTTCTATTCTCTCCTGTGTAAACCTTTCAGTATGGGTGGAATCCTCCTACCCTATTTTCTATTCTCTCCTGTGTAATCCTTTCAGTATGGGTGGAATCCTCCCATCCTATTTTTTATTCTCTCCTGTGCAATCCTTTCAGTATCTGTGCAATCCAGTCCAGCATCTTTGATTTCAGAAACATTTATCTTAGCGTTTCACTTGGGCATCCTTGTTTCCACAATCCATTTTTTTTTCTGTTTCAGTGTCAATTTTTGCCCGAAGACCCATGGGGGGGGGGGGGGGGAATAGACCAGCGCCCTCCCTAACAAGCATGTCATAAAAGAGGCGACTAACACATCTGCCTACAAATAAGCCAGAGCTGTAAAATAGATGTGCACACAAAACCCAAGTTCTGGAACACGATCAAAGTCCAGAAGTGGATGAACAACAGGAAATTTCCCCAGAGTTTACTGCTGATGACCATGAATAAGAAGAAGAAAGAGTGCCTGTTTAATGATTCTGTCTGCTTCTTGTCATGATGCTTCATCCGCATTTGAATGACTTGGCATCCTTATGTCAGTTGCAGGGCTCCAATTTTGATGGAAAATATGAATAGACCCACCGCCCCTCTAACATCATGTCGTAAAAGGTGACTAATGAGAGAATTGTTGAAATCAGATGGGTTGGGTTCAAAGACGCAGATATGTAAACCACAACACAGTTTACCAGCCACCCTTTTAAGGAGAAATGCTGAAGAAGAAGAGTTACCCGGGCATTAAGAAGGCATAGGTTAAGAGAGAAATAAATGATTGAATGTTTTCATTATAAATGTTGGCATCCTTATGTCAGTTGCAGGGCTCCAATTTTGATGGAAAATATGAATAGACCCACCGCCCCTCTAACATCATGTCGTAAAAGGTGACTAATGAGAGAATTGTTGAAATCAGATGGGTTGGGTTCAAAGACGCAGATATGTAAACCACAACACAGTTTACCAGCCACCCTTTTAAGGAGAAATGCTGAAGAAGAAGAGTTACCCGGGCATTAAGAAGGCATAGGTTAAGAGAGAAATAAATGATTGAATGTTTTCATTATAAATGTTGGAACTTAAATATTGCAGAAATATTCTTAGAACGCTGTGGATGATTTAAAAAAAAGTAGTTGAGTCAAGAATTGACATCACATCACTCAAGGCATTCCCATGCATGCTCTGTCCTCATCTTCAGCAGCCAGCCTAAAAAAAAAAAAAGGAAAAATGCCTATATTCTACAAGATCAGAACATTGATGAAACTGAATCATAAACAGTTTCATGTCTGAGAAACTGACAGGCGGACCATATCAGATGTCACATGAGTTAAAAAGAACAATAATGGAAATAGGCAAGGCTGAGAATTAAAGGCGTAGGTTTCATGTGCTGGGAATTAAAGAGTCAGCTGAAGCAGTCAGCAGACAGTGTGCAGACCAAGCCCCACCTCCAGCCAGACAGTGTGCAGACCAAGCCCCACGCCCAGCCAGATAGTGTGGAGACCAGGCCCCACGCCCAGCCAGATAGTGTGGAAACCAGGCCCCACGCCCAGCCAGATAGTGTGCAAACCAGGCCCCACGCCCAGCCAGATAGTGTGCAGACCAAGCCCCTCGCCCAGCCAGATAGTGTGCAAACCAGGCCCCACGCCCAGCCAGATAGTGTGCAGACCAGGCCCCACGCCCAGCCAGATAGTGTGCAGACCAAGCCCCACGCCCAGCCAGATGGTGTGCAAACCAGGCCCCACGCCCAGCCAGATAGTGTGGAGACCAGGCCCCATGCCCAGCCAGATAGTGTGTAGTCCAGGCTCCACACCCACCCCTAACTACAAACATCTTGCCTTGTGTGAAAAAGAGTACAAGTCTCATCACATGGGCAGTGGAGAATCGTTTTCTGATTGAATCGTTGACAAGTAAATTTGAGGAAATGAGAACGTTCAATAGAAAAATCCTTAAGATGAACATTTAAGAGAGGCTAAAGGTAAATGACTGGATTCCATCGATGATAATTAAAGAATGGGACAGGATAGAATAGAATAGAATAGAGGACAAATCTGGGAGCCCTATATGAGATATAACAGCACAGCACGATGATGATGATAAAGAGTGTGTAAAGGACCCTTTTCCACACCTTCATGCATATTGGGCATATAGGGCTAGACCTATGTTTTATAGACCAGTTGGCACTTGGTTTCTTGATGTGGCCAGCATCATCCCGGCCGGCTTTACTTCCCAAGACTTTACCTGGTACTCATATAAGGCTGGGGCGACCTAGGAGCCAAATTTGTTTTTAAAGAAAAAGTCCAGCTCCGTGAGGACCTCAACCTACAACATTCAGATCCACAAGCGAGTGTCTAGCCGCTGCACCACGGCGGCTCTGTCTGTGTAATGCAACCAGGTTTAAATGCCATTAGGTAGGTTTGAGGTATTCCCTTTTCCCTGTGTGCGTTCCAGGGCCCTATTTTAGTGATAGGGGAAAAAAACCTGTTCCCCTTATAAGTGTGTCAAAGGGAAAAAACTTGTCCCCCTTATAAGCGTGTCAAAGGGAAAAAACCTGTCCCCCTTATAAGTGTGTCGAAAAGGGGACTAATTAGGGATGTTCTCTTCAAATTTGGAGTACATCTGTCTGAGAGGTGAGAACCCAGCAAAAAGGCCGGATCCATATCACAGGTATGCACACAAAAATGGAACAAGGCCAATGACCCAAAGTAGGCAAACTAGCAGAACTTTCTATCGGCATTACAGCCGGTGTATGTGAAGAAGAATAAATTTGTTTTCACTCTATGTTTCTATGTCTGGCTGGCACACCTAGATTAAAATTGTCAGTACTGTGTAACCAGTTCTTGCTCAATCTCATGTACCCATTTAATAAAGCTGGGTTGGCCGCTGAGCAAAACTGGTAAATAAATATGAAAAAAAAATATAATACAACCTTACCATTGTAGGGGGTTGAACCCTGGATTATTGTTTTGATCAGTGAGTACACTGATCATAGAAAAAGTGTCAGCTGGAAATGGTTTATGGCAATTTTAAAGAGGTGACATGTATTTCAGGTGTTGTTTTTCTGTGTATTATTCAAAATGTGTTTTAAATTTAACCATGGGCTAAGAAGAAAAGATATGTTAACATCCTAAAAGATTTGAACCAAGGAACTTTGCCTTGTTAAAAGCAGCATGTCTTGGAAACTCAGATACTTTGGCCATATCAAATACCACGATGGATTGGAAAGAACAGCGGCAGGTATTATACCGGGTAAGAGAGTCAGAGGTACTGCACATACTAGACACCTGTGGCAGGGAAAGTGCGTGAGGCGGAAGAGCAGACAGGGGATCAAGTTTCTCTTAGGTGGGCTGAGATGGGAGTGATCATCTTTGAAGAACCTTTTACGTGACGATGTAAATTTGATTGTGAATTAGCAGTTTTTGTGGACTAGATTTAGAGACATTTATTTCCATTCTGAAGAGGTTTTTTTTTTTTTTTTTTTTTTTGAAATTTGTTAATTTGTGTGACCTTTAAGTATCCTTCTCTCCTCAGTCTGTTCATGTTTTGTCCATTATAATATAACATTGAGTTGTTTTGAAGGTGGCAATACACAGAGAGATAACGGATGTGTTGCGTTTTGCCTGCATTAGTTGCTTTTATTTGGCTGCATTTCTTGTTACTGTTTTTGTGAATGTCAGTGGCTCGTTCACCTTTTTCTTGCTGTTCTTAAACACAGAAGAACAGATTCCCTGGTGCATTTGATTGCACATAGTATGATAATGTTGTTTTATTGATGTAGTGTTGTGCATTCTTTCAGGGCCGATGTGATGAGTTTCTGGGCGCACAAAGTGAATCCATCCTCTTCCTTTGCCAGACTCAGATCCTTATGGTAGATTTGAATTACATACTGTGTGCCTTTTGCACATATTGAACTCAGAGGACCAGCACACAGTTAGATTGACTCAGCATTTCTTGTGAGGCCTGTACCAATGCAGCGACCACCCGCTGCATAACTGCTAACCTTTCTGTCTGTCCCTCGTCTGTCTTCAGATGCTGGGTAAATAGCTGATGCCTTTGCTGTTAATGTCTGTCTGACCATTCCATGGTGAAATATCTGTGTTGAGTGCCTGTCCACCTTCTGTCTGTCCCTCGTCTGTCTTCAGGCTTGTGGCTAGTTTTGCGAAAGTCCTGTTTTGTCTGCAAGGTTTTATGTCATGGTCTGTGTTGACAGTGTTAGCTGTGCATGCCTGCTGTCTGTGTCAGTTCTGCTTTCTCACAGCGTGTTTCTGTTACAGCTTGTGTTTGTTTTTGTGTATATTTTGAGCACAGAATTCAGTGTTATTTTGCAACCTGTTTTTCTTATATGTTCACTTTTTCTTTGTGAGGTGAGTTCATTTCTCACATTCTGTTTTTGTTGTGCTTTGTGCTGTGTTTGTTCTCTGTGAGGTGAGGTTTATGTCTCACTGTCTGTTTTTGTTGTTGTTTGTGCTGGGGTTTGTTTGTTCTCTGTGCGTTGAGGTTAATTTCTCAGTCTATTTTTGTTGTGCTTGGTGCTGGTGTTTGTTCTCTGTAAGGTGAGGTTCATGTCTCACAACCTGTTTTTTGCTGTGCTTTGTGCTGGGTTTTTTTTCTGTGTGAGGTGAGGTTCATTTTACAGTCTGGTTGTTGTTCTGCTTTATGCTGTGTTTGCTTGTTCTGTGTGAGATGAGGTTAATTTCTCAGTCTGTTTTTGTTGTGGTTTGTGCTGGTGTTTTGTTCTCTGTGTGGTGAGGTTCATTTCTCACAGTCTGTTTTTGTTGTTGTTGTGCTGTGTTTTCTGTTGTTCTCTGTGAAGCGAGGTTCATTTCTCTGTCTGTTTTTGTTGTGGTTTGTACTGTTTTTTGTGTGTTGTTCTCTGTGAGGTGAGGTTCGTTTCTCTGTCTGTTTTTGTTGTGATTTGTGCTGTGCTGTGTTTGTTTCCTGCGAGGTGAGGTTCATTTCTCAGTCTGTTTTTGTTGTGGTTTGTGCTGTGTTTGTTTGTTTGTTCTGGGTGAGGTGAAGTTTATTTCTCACTGTCTGTTTTTGTTGTGGTTTGTGCTGTGTGAGGTGAGGCTAATGTCTCACTGTCTGTTTTTGTTGTGGTTGTGTTCGTGAATTATATGTTCTTTAAGAAGTGAAGTTCATTGTTTCTCACAAACTGTTTTTGTTGTGTGTTGGTTTATTTATGTTCTTTAAGGTGTGAAGTTCTTTGTTTCTCACAAACTGTTTTTTTGTATGTTTGTTTATGTATGTTCTTTAAAAAGTGAAGTTCTCTGTTTCTCACAACCTTTGTTTTCTTGTGTGTTTGTTTATGTATGTTCTTTAAATAGTGCTTTGTTTCTTACAGCCTATTTAGTGTTGTTTGTTGGTTTTTATATGTTTCTTTAGAAGTGAAGTTCTTTGTTTTTCTCAGTCTGTTTCCATAATGTGGTGGTTTTTGTATATTCTTGAGCTGCAAAGTTTTGTTTGCTTCTCAAACCTGTTTTTGCTATGTGTTGGTTAATGTATTTTCTCTGTGAAATGTGTTTTGATTTCCCACAGCCCTTTGTCATAATGTTTTGGTTTTTTATATTCGTGATAGGTGAAGTTCTACATTTCTCACAACCTGTTTTTGTTTGTTTGTTTTGGAGTGTGTTATGTCAGGGTTTTTGTAGATTCTCTATTGTGAAATTCTCAATTTTCTCACAATTTGTTTTCATTGTGTTTGTTTTCGTAAGTATTATTTGACGGGCAAAATTCTTTGTTTCTTACAGCCTAGTTTTAAACAAAAATCCTGTTTTGTGTTCTTATGGGCCATGCTACGTGGCATTGATAGTCATTTCTATACTCAGCCTTCTGTCTCATGTACTTTTGTTATATGTTACTTCTTGTATGTTATTCTGTGAAGTTCTCTACCCCCACCTTCTATGCTCTGGCAAAATTTATTCTTGTTTATTACATATCTTCTTCATTCATCCAAAGTCATAAGTGCATTGTGCCCCTTTTCAACATGGCTGTGATATTTGCACCTTTTGGCTGACACATCCGACTTCTGCAGGCATTTGTTGACCGGGTTAGCCTTCTGAGCTTGTTAGACGTGACTTTGAGTGTTATTAGCTGAGTTGAAGTTGTGTACTTTTTCACAACCTGCTTTCATTACAGGTCATTCGCCAGTGTTTATGTGTTCTTTGAGAGACTTAAACTGATCCTGTGAGATCAGCATACATTATATCAGTGTTTGGGCTTGGGTTGTGACACTTCTTGTTAATTCCATTTCATGATTGTATCATGCCTTGTTTGATAATTTTGTTGAATAATTTTCTGTCTTATACCAACTTCTTTAATTCTGTTGTAATTAGTATTCTGTGAGCACCTTGTCTTTCCTTTTGTCCATCTTCTTAGCCATTTGTTTGGGTGTTGATTCAGCTTTGGGTATACACTTGCTTGTAGCCTCCCCTATTTTTTATACATATATGTCCAGTTGCTGTTTGAATTTGTTCATAAGTTTTTTTGTTGGCTGTATCAGTTGTATTGTAAACTGTTGAAGATTACCTGCACTGTTTCCAATGGGTCTCATAGTTCTAGCCTTGTAGAGTTTGTTCTCTTGTCATGGATGGACACCGACAGACTTCTGTTTATTGTTTTATATTGTTTTGCTGTTTTCCTTCTGTGTTGCTCAAACCCACATTGGTGTTATTGCAACCTTGTTTCCATGCTGAAAACACAGAAGAACAGCTAAGAAAATAATGGTGTATGGAAAGAGACGGAGCACTTTTGGAGACACCTGTGTGCAGTGACAAAGTAAATTTTGTTTAAACTAAAACCAGGTGTCTCTGAAAAATGGAATTTTCTCATCTAGACTTGTCCCAGCCCCTGTCAAAGTCAGCATCCTGGGTCCAAGCTCTTGTGAGACCCAGTTGTAGAACAGGTTATCGTAATGGATGCATTTCTTCAGTTTTAAACAGATGGATTTCTCTCTGTCATTCAGGTCTTCTAGGTGCAGCCCCGTCACTGCCTCTGAGCCCAAAGATGAACCCCAACATGCAGTTAGGTCTCATGGTCATGTTGGCCATCCACATCCAGACAGTGAAGTCAGGACAGGTAAGTCAGGTTGGTTAGAACAGTATAGTTAAAGGTTAGTTGTGTATCCTTTACAGGACGTTGCAGAACCAACCCCAGCAGCTCCTGGCTGTTGTGTGGTTTCTCTAGGGACATTTAAGTCCAGTAGTTTGCCATTGCTTTCTGGGCGGTCGGCCCCCTGATACCACTGTCGAAACCAACACAAGGCGTATGGCCTGCAGCTGGGATCGAACCCGGTTCCCCAGCATTACGAAGCGTTCACATCGAATTAGCTACAGAGCCGACAAACAGTATAGTAAATTACACAAAAAAATTTCTTGTGCAAGTTGCGGAGCTACAGGAGGGGGGGGGGGGGGGTGGGTTGGAACGAGTTCTGGTGTGGTTGTTTGGGGGGGGGGGGGGGGGGGGGGGGGGTAAAGAAGAATAGACTTACTGACCCTTGACAAGCATTTCACAAAAGGCAGTTCATTAAGGGTTTCTTGAAATTGAATGTGTCGGACTGAAAGGCATAAATATTGCAGCCTTGCTGTAAATTACAACACTGCATCATCAACAGCCTTTTAGGGGTGAACACAGAAAAAAGTTGTATTAAAAAAAATATTTGGGTCGGCTGTCAGGTTGACTAAGAAATGAATGAATGCAAATCATAATTGATAAAATGGTTACTTTTCTCGGTACAGGGCAAATGGCGCCAGACTCATATTTTTAAAGAGAAAATATCTGTATTTAATTGACTAAGTGTTAGCAAAAGAAGATGAGCAATATTGACATCTTAAAAGATCTGAACATCAAGAAAGATTGGCTAATAAACAGCATCCTTTCTCGAAAGCTGAAATATTTGTTTCATCAAGCGCCACAACGGATTGGAAAAAACTATAGCATTAGGCATGGTACCAGGAAGGAGGGGCAGGGGCTGACCGACACGAAGATGGACACAGGATATAAGTGACTCCTTGAGTATGAAAGTACATGAGGCAGGAGAACTGGCGAGAGAACTGGCAAGAGACCGAGTTTCTTTCAGGCAGACCGTGATGAGAGCGACGTTCTGCAAGGGACCTGCTACATGATGATGATGAAGTGTTAGCATAACAGTGGTGCCCTTTGATTCCTGTGAAATGTCCTGAAGTTATAAAAATCTGTTTCTGTGTGGATTTGAACCAAGACATTTAGGTGTCAGGCAAAAATAGCTCGGAATCTTTGGGAAAAAAAATGCACCCTAAACACACAAACAAAACATATGTAGAAGCAAATGTTTGAATCAGATTTTTATCAGGAAACAAAACAATAATACTTTGCTAAAAACTGAAATAACACGACCATAGGTACAAGTAGTAATCAACTTAGTAAATAATTAAACTGACTAGTCTAAAGTTTGGGAAACAAAAACATGGAAGTAGAACACAAACGAACCAGACCTCCAGGGAGGCCAAGGATGCCCTGGAAAGACAACATCCGACAGTCCTTGACTGACAGAGGACTGGAATGGAACAAAGTCAGAAAGAAAACTGCTGATAGAGAAGTCTGACGATCTCTGTGGCAAACCTCACATCCCAAAGTAGAAAAGTGACTAAGTAAGTAAGTACACACTTGGTTGTTGATGAAATGAATCATTTATAAACAAAAAGAGGAAAGAAATTTGTATATGTAAATATTGTTTGCTTTTGTTATTTTTGTTAAATTTTTAAATCCCTTTACTAGTTCTTCCTTTCCATATTTCCATTTAATTTCTTAATCCTTCTACTCGTTCTTCCTTTTTTTTCAATTTCCATTTCCAGGCATATTTTTGTTTTGTTATTCATCATGCATTAAATGATTTTTGTGTATGTTCCTTATATTAGATGCTCCTTTGTGTTGAATCGGACAGCTTCTTACAAGGCAGTCCAAATTAAAATTAACACAGAGAAGCATCTGATACAAAGCATATTCATCCCCACTCTGCTCTACCAGTGCCAAACATGGACACTCGCAACAAACCAGAAAAGAAAATGAGTAACCAAAGAAATGAGGAAAGCTACAGGGGTGACCACGAGATAAAATCAAGAATGTTGTCATAAAAGAAAAAACAAAATCACCTAGAGCCAATACCGGAACTACATACAAACAAACATTAAAAAAAAAAATTGGTTGCCCACTTAGAATATATTTGGCCATTGTGAAATACTATGCAGGTCAGTAGTTTTGCAAGACTGATTAGAAGGCAGTACCACCATAATTTTTTGACTACTTTGGCATCTGTGGCTTAGGCGTAGCGTACGTGCTTTGTAATGCTGGGATGTCGGGGCCAATTGCAGCTGCAGGCCATTTGGCAGCAGACTGTCTTGTGTTGGTTTTGAGAGTGGTACCAAAAGCTGACCATTCAAAGAGCAGTGGCAAACTACTGAACATAAATTTGCCTAGAATAACCACAGCAGCAAAAAAAAAAAAATGCTGAGGTTGGTTCTGCAGTGTCCTGTAAAGGATATGCAACTAACTTTTAAACATATTTTTGCCTAAGAACAGGACACTGCAGACTTAACGCACGTATGCACAGAATGCAGGCTGCACAATCTTCCCTGCCAAGCCACACCTCAAAATGAACACATACTGCAGAACTGCCCCTCCGGCAGAGAACAGAGAGCACATGGCCAGAGGGAAGAAGCATCTAGAAAGAAACTTTGGGGAAGCTTTGGAGACTTGCCGCTGATCTGCCAGTTCATGGGGGCTACACAGCTGATAACCTGAGCACATAAACCCGATCACAGAGATGAAGAGTATTCTCCTCTCTTGCTGACGTCAGTGATGTGCACTAGTGTCCTGCTGTCATTGTTGTCATCATTTTTTTTAGTCATGTCCTCAACGTTGGAATATTTTGTCTGCAGTTCACCGGAGTGCTTGCTAAGCAGCTAAATACACTGACCTTGCTATGTGTTAATGAGGTAAGTCCTTCAGAAGTACATTTTCTGTTTTGGTTGCGGGGACCCATTTTTGGGGAAACAAGAATAGACCCACTGTTTCCTTAACAAGCATGTCGTAAAAGAGGATTAAGACGAAGGTCCAGAAGTGGACGGGGAGTTGCTGTGGCAGAGGGGCTAGACATGCGCCGCGGATCTGAAGGTCGTGGGTTTGCTCCCTGGCGGAGCCGGACTTTTCTTCAAAAATGACCTTGACTCCCAGGTCGACCCAGCCTTGAGTGGGTACCGGGTGCAGTCCCGGGAAGTAGAGGCGGCCGGCATGATGCTGACCACATCACCCATCTTGTGCCGATGGTCTACAAAAATAAAGGTCTAGCCCTATATGCCCTATACGCCTAATGGTGTGGAAAGGGTCCTTTACTTTTTTTTTAAATACCAGAAGTGGACGAAACATTGTTAGCCTGAAAATATAGCCTGTGAACGTGAAGAAGTAATACTTGTCTGCAGAGCTATATTATGCCTAAGAAATATTTCTGTAAGTAGCAGTGAATCATCGAGAAATACCGATATAAAAAGTTAAATGGTACTTGAAAAATACTTGTGGGAATGGCTTTATGAAACTTGAGAAATGTGTGAATAACTATATGGCAATGAGAAATAATTTTGTGAATAGCTAAGGAGCTGTGAAAATTTTGATTTGCCACAATTTGTAGTAGTTGATTTGTATTCATACCATACGACTGTCTGGTTCTGAAGCTCTGGTGGTGTAGTGTTAGTGCACCTGCCTAACAGCACAAGGGTTTTTAATCTCCTGTAGAATGTAAGTTGGAAATTTTTGCAGCGTTCAGTGCTGCTCTGAAGGATTTTTTACCAAGAAAATAAATGAATCTTTCAGGCGAAAAACAATAATCCACTGCACTCATATTTAACTGTTTGTTTAACCAGAGATAACTCCTGTTTACAAACATTCCCTATTGCTTTATTAAAAGAGGGCGAACATGGTTGATAACAAATACTTTAGAAAAACTGAATAAAAAAAAAATTTCAGTTAAAAGGAATAATTTTTTGATCATAATTAATAATGTTACTATATATGCACCTGATGAGATGCAGTAAAATATGCCCATCAGTAGATTGTGTAGTCTTTTGTTTGTGTCTTCTTTGTTCAGAATGTCCTCGTGGAAACATTGCTTTAATTTTTATGACAGTTTTATAGAGTGCAAATGTAGTTTTTGACAGTTTCTTTTAACCTTTTTTGCGCTGACAAGCCACACTTACCTGTAGTGACCTGTTTACGAGATGGCATGGTTAATTATTTTTGCTCTATTCACACCTGCGCAGACATTTATGATGTCGTGATATGACTGCTTTAATTAATAATAGCATTTCAGGGGGGGGGGGGTTTCCTTTGTGCCAAATAGCTTTGTTGAAGGCAAGTTGATGTCAGCTTTTCCCCTAGCCTCAGTTATAGAGTTATAGGGTCACGACATGCATCACCACATATATATATATATGTGTATAATTTTTTTTTCAAGGCCCTTTCAATTTAATGCTTCTCCTGGTTCATGTTTATTGATTACCCTTTCATGTATCTTTATGTATTTAAAAGATTATGTTTTTAAAAAATGTAGAAAAATAAATTTTGTAACGAATTTATTACTAACCTTTGTAAAATTGTCATTTATTGTAGGATTTTAAAATGGAATTCCAACAGGATCATCAACCATTTTTGTTAGCATTACATGGGTGAAAGGTTTAAAATTCCAGTAAAAAATGACATCACTTCTTTGTGTTCTTCTACAAATAGAAACCTGGACAGAAGATTCCCCTTCTTTCCGACTCGTTAATGGGACAAGCAAATGTGATTCTCCTGAACCTCAAACAGCAGCTGAACCAGGTACCTGTCTTGGGAGACAATGGCAAGCCACTGGCGGAACCTGTCTCTCTGGATGACAAGGTCCGCTTTATTGTGAAGAAGTTTATTGCCAATGGCAGGTACTTGAACCTAACTTTACTCAGCGCCTTGGGTCAGATTCTGGTTAATATGAAGCAGCTGGACACGCCCAGTTATGGACTAGGTAAATATATCATTCACACAGATTAATTTTTCATGCTTTTCATTTCTGGAGATAAGTATCTGTCGCTTGAGGGATTTTAAAACCTGATGCTGAAAGGTAGAACTGGACTAGAGAAGATGAAGCCCTGGAAGGAAACAAGAAAATAATTATATCAAATCAGAGGTTTTTCATTCGAGTAAAGTGTATCTGCCTCAGAGTCGAGAAACCAACAATCGGCATACAAATAAGCCAGATCTTATAAATGGATGTGTACCCCAAATGTAAATTCTGGAACAAGATCAAAATGCAGAAGTTGACGAACAACCAGGATTTTCTGCTAGAATTTACTGGTGAACGCTAACAAGAAGAAGATGAAACTTCCTTCACCATTCAGATGTTACTGAAACTTTTTTTGTTACTGTTTTGATACTGACCTTACATTTTAAAACCACCTTTCTCTTTTAAAAGGCCCAAGAACACCGTCAATCCTAGGACCCTTACCTGGCCCCGCATCACAGTTGTTGATAAATGCTCAACTGGGGAAACCTGCACCTGCCCAGCTCGGAAACACTTCTTCTGTGATGACACCTCAGCCGACTCAAAATGTCAACAACATAGAGGCCAAACTCAACTCCACCATCAACTCCACCATCATGCAGGCCATGGGACTGAATGTCGGCAGCGGCAGCTCTCTAGGCAACGTGGGAACAAATTTGTTGAACCAGATCAGTCAGGGACTGATGACTCAGATCGGTCAGAACTTACTGCAGCAGCTAACAGGCTCAGGAAAAGGGCAGGCTTCCAATAAGAAATCTAAAGGAAGTTCTGCTGCTCAGAGTTCATTGGCTGGGGCTCTTGCCCAGAATGTCAGTCAAGCTAAAGGGCCAATGGCAGCTGGTGTCTTTAATCAGAATGTCTGGAAGAATGAGGATACCAGGTAAATATCAGTTTGGGTTGAAACAGTTTCTAGACCAAAACATGTGTTCAACTTTTTCAGACTTGGCCAGATGTCACTTTAGCCTTTTTACTCTCTGCCCCTTGTTTTGTTGTTGTTTTTGTTGTTGTTGTCTATGACTGTTATTACTTTGTTCAGTTTTGCATGTGTGGGTCACCGACTGTTGTACTCTGACCATTGCTCCTTTGATCTTTTTCAGTCTCCTACCAGTATTACTTTGATATTTTTTTAAAAGTCTCTGGCCTTTGTTAACGGCAGTGTTTTCAGTCTGTGAACTTTCATCTTTTTTTTTTAACCACCGACTGCTGTTCATTTTTTAGTCTGACCATTAGTATTTTTTTTTTTTTTTAGTCTGACCATTGTTACTTTCATATTTTTCTGTCTGACCAATTGTTATTTCTTTTTCAGTCTGTGACTGTTGTTACTTATTGTTAGTCTCTGACTCTTGTTACTTTGATATTTTTTTTTAAAATCTGAATGTTGCTACTTTGATATTTTTTTTTGTTTTTAGATTTTTAGACTCTGGCCATTGGCCCTATTGAACTTTTTTCAGTCTTTACGGATGCTGGTTTTAATTTTTATTTTCTGTGTCTGACCAGTAGTACGTTGATGTTTAAAAAAAAAAAGTCTTTGACCATTGTTAGTATCATAGTTTTCAGTTTTTCACTGTTATTTGATTTTTGTTAAGTCTCAGAACTTTGTTACTTTGATTTTTTTTTAAAGCTGCTGACTGCTGTTACATTGATATTTTTTCAGTCTGACCATTGTTGTTTTTTATATTTTTCAGTCTGTTACAGTTGTTACCTTTTTTTTTTTTGTTTTAAAAGTCTCTGACCATTTTTACTGTCAGTTTTCAGTTTTGGACTGTTCTTATTTTAGTTTCTTTTTTTTTTTCAGTCTCGGAACTTTGTTACTGTGATCTTTTTTTTTAACCACTGACTGCTGTTACTTTGATATTTTGTCAGTCTGACCATTAATATTTTCATATTTTGCAGTCTTTTACTGATGTGTGCCCCCCCCCCCCCCCCCCTCCCAGTCTCTGACCATTGTTGTGATTTTTTTTCTCCAAGTTTCTGACTGTTGTCACATTGATCTTTAGGCTGTTGGTCACTGGTTGTTGTTGCCTTGATATATCTCTCTAACCATTGTTACTGTGATGTTTCGTAGTCTCTGGACGTTGTTACTTAGCCCTGCCAGCATGTCTCTCGACTTGTTTGTTTCTTCTTATGCCTACATGCCCTCATGATTAGCATTTAATAAACTTTTAAATTCAGAAATCAGGAATATTATTTCCCCCCCATCTTACAAGTGTTTTTTCCCCTGTTGTCTCAGGTGGGGAACTGGTGTTTTTTGATGTCAAGGGAGACATGGGAGCTAATGTTGACGGCAGCAAAGGAGCCATGGGAAATGACAGTTATGGCACCTATGGTGCTAAAGTAGAGGCAGGAACAACAGGAATGGCAGCTGGTTACGGCAATTACGGATATGGTGCTAATGAATATGGGGTATGTAATGTTTGTGTTCTCATGTCTGTTTTGACTGGTCCCTGTGATCTATTATGGCTGTGTTGGATTTTATATAAAAGTTCATGGTCTGCTCTATAACATATTTATCTTTATCTAAATCATCTTCATGACCTGTAGTGAAAAGCCTAGATGGTCATTGGCTGCCATCTCAACTCTTTTACCCCTCTGACCTAGAAAAAAAATAATAATAAAAAAATCCTTTACTGTTTTGTTTTGAAGACTCCTGAAAAATAACCCTTTAAAATTTCACACATATCTTATAGAAATATTGCACAAATTCAATGTATCATCCAAAATACAAATAAATACTACATAGAGTAAGAGGAGTAATCAATTAAAATGAATGCAGTATAGAAGCAGCTGGCTTACATCGCTTGGGGACTAAATTAATTATAGCTCAACACTTGCCCAGAAATAACCTTGGCTTCCAGGTCGACCCAGCCTTGAGTCGGTGGGTAGCAGGTAGAGTCCTGGAAAAGAAAGACGGTTGGCATGAGATTGACCACATCTCTTACTGAGTACAGATATATAACTGCATGCTGAGTACACCTGAAGGCATGGACAAGAATCCATTACTTACTTGACCCTGTGACCCCCGGTCTTTACTGTCTGTTATAATGGAAACACATGTCCACTACCTGTTATAATGGAAACACATGTCTACTGCCTGTTATAATGGAAACACATGCCTACTGCCTGTTATAATGGAAACACATGTCTGATGTCTGTTATAATGGAAACACATGTCTACTGCCTGTTATAATGGAAACACATGTCTACTGCCTGTTATAATGGAAACACATGTCTTATGTCTGTTATAATGGAAACACATGTCTACTGCCTGTTATAATGGAAACACATGTCTGATGTCTGTTATAATGGAAACACATGCCTACTGCCTGTTTTAATGGAAACACATGTCTACTACCTGTTATAATGGAAACACATGTCTACTGCCTGTTATAATGGAAACACATGTCTACTACCTGTTATAATGGAAACACATGCCTACTGCCTGTTATAATGGAAACACATGTCTGATGTCTGTTATAATGGAAACACATGCCTACTGCCTGTTATAATGGAAACACATGTCTGATGTCTGTTATAATGGAAACACATGCCTACTGCCTGTTTTAATGGAAACACATGTCTACTGCCTGTTATAATGGAAACACATGTCTACTGCCATTTATAATGGAAACACATGCCTGATGTCTGTTATAATGGAAACACATGTCTGATGTCTGTTATAATGGAAACACATGTCTACTGTCTGTTATAATGGAAACACATGTCTACTGCCTGTTATAATGGAAACACATGTCTACTGCCTGTTATAATGGAAACACATGTCTACTGCCTGTTATAATGGAAACACATGTCTGATGTCTGTTATAATGGAAACACATGTCTACTGCCTGTTATAATGGAAACACATATCTGCTGTCTGTTATAATGGAAACACATGTCTGCTGTCTGTTATAATGGAAACACATGTCCACTACCTGTTATAATGGAAACACATGTCTACTGCCTGTTATAATGGAAACACATGTCCACTACCTGTTATAATGGAAACACATGTCTACTGCCTGTTATAATGGAAACACATGCCTACTGCCTGTTATAATGGAAACACATGTCTACTACCTGTTATAATGGAAACACATGTCTACTGCCTGTTATAATGGAAACAGATGTCTGCTGTCTGTTATAATGGAAACACATGTCTGCTGTCTGTTATAATGGAAACACATGTCTACTGTCTGTTATAATGGAAACACATGTCTACTGCCTGTTATAATGGAAACACATGTCTGCTGCCTGTTATAATGGAAACAAATGTCTACTGCCTGTTATAATGGAAACACATGTCTACTGCCTGTTATAATGGAAACACATTTGCTGCCTGTTATAATGGAAACACATTTGCTGTCTGTTATAATGGAAACACATGTCTACTGCCTGTTATAGTTGAAACACATTTGCTGCCTGTTATAATGGAAACACATGTCTACTGCCTGTTATAATGGAAACACATTTGCTGATTGTTATAATGGAAACACATGTCTACTGCCGGTTATAATGGAAACGCATGTCCACTACCTGTTATAATGGAAACACATGCCTGCTGTCTGTGATAATGGAAACAGATGTCTGCTGTCTGTTATAATGGAAACACACGTCTGCTGTCTGTTGTAATGAAAACAGCTGTCTGTTATAATGGAAACACATGTCTGCTGTCTGTTGTAATGGAAACAGCTGTCTGTTATAATGGAAACACATGTCTGCTGTCTGTTATAATGAAAACACATATCTGCTGTCTATTGTAATGAAAACAGCTGTCTGCTGTCTGTTATAATGGAAACACGTGTCTGCTGTCTGTTATAATGGAAACAGCTGTCTGTTGTAATGAAAACAGCTGTCTGCTGTCTGTTATAATGGAAACACATGTCTGCTGTCTGTTATAATTGTAGCACATGTCTGCTGTCTGTGATAATGGAAACAGATGTCTGCTGTCTGTTTTAGTGGTAGCACATGTCTGCTGTCTGTAATAATGGAAGCACATGTTTACTTCCTGTCTACTACAATGCAAATACATGTATACTGCTTGTCTTTTTAATTCACACATCTGCTGCCTGTTTACTATAATAAAAGCACATCTGCTGCCATCTGTCTGTCTGTTAAAATGACAATAAATATCTGCTACTTGTCTGTTATAATTGACATGTTTGCTGCCTGTCTGTTATAATGGAAACAAATGTCTGCTGTCTGTTTCAGCGGTACACTTATGATGGACAATCAGAATACTACTACCAGAATGACAGCAGTAGCTACAATCAAGTATGTCATTTTCATTGTTATTATTAGTAAACAGCTTTTTCGGTTGCAAATGTCTGCTTAAAATTCCTTGACAGTTTTCTTCAGTGCCTTGTAATTATTTTGTTTCAGTACAATCTTTGTTCTGAGTTTATTCTCTTCTGACAATTTCCTTAAGTGTCTTGCAGCTTTTGAGAGTTTCAGTGCATGTTCTTTTTGCATGCACACTTTCTTATGTTATTCAGCAGAGAATATCTTGCAGTTGTATTATGTAGAGAACTTGTAGTTAATAAAAAATAATTATGTGGGGGGGGGGGGGGGGGGGGGTATAAAATAAACATTTCAACAATTCTTTACTTCTTTAAGGCTTTCTTCTTTTTCTTTTGCATTCACCAGTAACTAGGTGGTCGGCACATTGGGTTATGCTTTATGGCTATCTCTGCTAAAGAGGGCAGTGGTCCAGATGTGGATGACCACAACCGGAACTTTCTGCTGGAGTTTACGGCCAGTAAACTCACAGAAACAGAAGATGATTGTATAGATTGTAATAATTTTCTGTATTTATTTCTTGCTGTCTTAGTTTTCTCATGAAGCTAACTCCTTGTTGTTATTTCAACTCATTTAGTCCCAGACAGTAGTTAATTTATTAATTACTTAACTCTTCTCTGCCCCAGAAATCTTATTGTACTAAAACACAAATCTGCCGGAGATGGGCTTTTTGATGAATCTTCTAGAAAGCTTGGGCCTTCAGATTCTCAATATGTGATATAGTAAGTACTATATATAGTATATATATATATCATGTATAATATATGTGAGCTGGAACCTTATATATAAGGGCATATATATATATATATATAAGTCTGTATATGGGAAATAAGAGTATAATATGACAGTGGTAGCTTGGAGGGGTCTAATCTATGGGGAAACAATGGGTTAAATGGGACAGTGTAGCAGGTCTAATTATTGTTCCTAATGTAGTTGTTATCATTCTGTCCTCAGTACGCTGCAGGATATGGTGCCGGGGGCACAGCAGCGAACACTGGCGGATACGGCATGAACACTGGCTATGAGAACAACCAGGCATCAGGTGGTGGCAACTATCAGGTAGGTATTCTTCTACTTTACTTATTCTGCTTCATTTCCCAATGAAACAGGCCCCCGGCCATTTCACACTTAGCCCTTAAACCCCCCCATCTCTCATCCAAGTGTAAACACCAGAAACGAATACTAGCCAGAAAAATATGTGAAATGCAAGGGCCATAAATCAGAAAAAAAAAAATTGGGTTGGATGTTAGGTCCCCTAGGTTAATTGGAGCCCATTAGATAGTTAATGCTGTTCTCGAAAGACCTATAGACTAGACTTACGGCTAGTCTTGATTGCAGTAACCTCCATGTTGGCCCTGATAATTGAAATGCACCATCACTGGTTTGAAAACACTGCTCTGCACAACAGAAAGATGTTATTGAATCTATCGGCTAGTTACTTTACACTCTGAAGGCTATGAGTTTATTTCTGGACTGCCTTATTCAGTTCTTAGCATCTGATGAAATTATTGTGTCCATCAGTGAGTTTATTCTGACTGCCTTATTCACTTCTTAGCATCTGATGAAGTTATTGTGTCTGTCAATGAGTTTATTTCTGGACTGCCTCATTCAGTTCTTAGCATCTGATGAAGTTATTGTGTCCGTCAGTATTCACATATTTGTTGTCTGTACTGTACAGACCTTTCCATCTATTGAATTTGTCTGTAAGTCATCACATATGTATTATCTACATATATTTGATCGTTTAAAGAAATCAGTGGGTCTGTTAATAATTGTATTCTTGTCATCTTTGCATATTTTAGCAACTGATGAGATTATTGTGTCTGTCAGTTATTACATATTTGTTCTCCACACAGGCCCTGTCATTTGTTGATATTGTGCCTGTTGTTTATCACCTATTCCTGGTATGTGCAGATCTTGGCTGAATCATCATGGGCAGTCAGCTCATTCTTTAAAAATTAGCTAGAAAGTTGTAGAGATGTGGTTTCATAGATAAATTTTGAGAGCACCAAGGACGAATTAAAAACTGTGAATGTTTTGGGATAAAAGATCTCACAAGAGAAATCATTACTTGCATCAGAAGGAGGCAAGGCAAGTATGTGATGATGACACTCATAGAAAGAAGTAGAAAGACAAAAAGACCCAAAAGACTTCTTATATATATATATATATATATATATATATATGAGTCTATATAGCGCTTAGCACAGTCGATAGGAAACTCGCTTTCAAATCCAGCTGCAACTTGCTGCAGCCCACAGCTGGTATTCGAAACCGGGCAGTTCCTGGGGTTCACCCAGCCTGTAGGAAATTGCTAACAGAGTTAACACTCTATGGGAAATGGAGGAATGTTGCTGTAGCTACTGAGTTTCATGTGGACAGCGACTCATAACCTGTCCGTACTGGTGGCAGAGCACTTATGGTTTATAACTGCAGTGCCGCTGGTTCACATCTCCTGACTTTAACACACACACACACACAAATATATATATATATTTCTACAGCCCCAAGGGTTACCCCTCTGTTTATTTATGTGAATAGTTTATAACAAGAGGAACAGTTCTTGGCATTGATTGACAATCTGCTTTGTCCTTTCTTTCACAGCAGGATGACCAGATGAACAAAGCAGCCAGCAGTGGCCTCAGCCAGGGCACTGAGAGATTGGGGGCGGTGGGGGTATGTCAGGCATGGGATATGGTGGAGGTATGACAGGTATGGGGTATGGATACGAAAGTAGAGATGGCCAGCAGGAAGGGTACAGCTCGTACAATACGGCTGAAGGCTACGCTGCTGGTCAAGGGGCGGGGGGCTTAGGGAGAGATGGAATGGGAAGCAGTGATCTGGCTGGCGGGGGAGTTGGTAGTGAACAGCAGTGGGGCGGTAGCATGGGAAGTGGGGGAATGGGCGTTGGCCAGTTTGGGGCTGGGGGAATGGCAGGCAGTGGTATGGGAGGTGGTGGGATGGGCACTGGCCAGTTTGGGGCTGGGGGAATGGCAGGCAGTGGTATGGGGAGTGGTGGGATGGGTGCTGGCCAGTTTGGAGCTGGGGGAATGGCAGGCAGTGGTATGGGGAGTGGGGGAATGGGCACTGGCCAGTTTGGGGCTGGGGGAATGGCTGGCAGTGGTATGGGGAGTGGGGGAATGGGCACTGGCCAGTTTGGCGCTGGGGGAATGGCAGGTAGTGGCTTGGGCACTGGAGAAGTGGGCAGTGGTCAGTATGGGGTTGGAGGCATGGGTAGTGGTAATATGGGAGTGGCTGGCATGGGTGGCGGTAATATGGGAGCAAGTGGCATGGGAAACAAGGGTTTGGGTGGTGGGCTGGGGGAAGAACACCAGTGGGGGTGTGCAGGGAAGTGATGGCTACTATGGAAGTAGCGGTAGAGGCATGAATGATGGATACTACGACAGTGGAGGAAGAGATGTTAATGAAAGATACATGGGTAGTGGTGGAGGTTACGGAAGTGGTGTTGGTAGCGGATTCGGAAGCGGTGTTGGTGGATTTCGGAACTGGTGGAGGGATGGGAGGTTCATTGTTGGAAACTGGTGTTGGAAGCACAGACGGAAGCATGCAAGGTGGGTTTGGGATGGGTCGAGGCATGAATGACAGTGCAGTGGGCAATGCAGCTGGGATGGGGAACAACAGCAGGGAGGAAGTGAGCGGTGTTCAAGGCAACAGGTTTGCTGGAGGTATCCCAGAGATGAATGGGCCACCAGCCGCTGGCATGAACTCCAGAGGCAGTTCAAGCTACTTCACCAGAGATGAGGCCAGTTCCAGTGGGGTTCAGTCGAGATTAGTAAGTACCACACTTTTTTTCTTCTTCTGCTTTTGCTGTGATAATGCAGTTGGCATATTGTGTTGTGGTGTACAGCTAGCCTGTGATATCTTGACTTTTGACCCAACATGTCTCATTCTCTTTTTCTTAGCCTTTCACTGGCTGTAAACTCCAGCAGAAAGTTCTTGTTGTTCGTGCTCTTTTGGACTTTGGTGGTCTTGTCCCAGAAGTTGAGTTTTGCGCATAGAAATCTCGCCGTTGGCTTATTTGTGTCCAGATCTGCTAGTTTCTCACCTCTCAGGCAGATGCGCTCCGACTTCAGAGGAAGGACACTCGATCATTTGAATTTTATGACATGTTTGTTAGGAGACGGTTGGTCTGTTTTTTTTTTTTAATTTTGTTTATTTACCCGAAAGAGGGTTCTGGAGACCACACTGAGAATGTGATTTGAACAAATACTGAACTGCCTTCACAAGGCATCCAGAAGAAAGATCAGAAAAAAAGTATTCACCTGTTACGACATCATTGTTAATGAGACGTGAGGTCAAATTCTCGCTTCCAGCTCCCAGATGGGGTCCTGTAACTCACACTGGGAACACTTGTTTTGATTTTTTAGTTTCCAGTTATCACCATCATCATCATCATCATCACACGACCATCTTTATCTCATCATCTTCATTTTACCACTTTTGCAGCGTAGGCAGGGGAGATTTTGAGCCTGAGGATTTAGGGACGCATGGCTAGTGCTGTTACTGCCTTACAGAGGATTCAAACCCAGTCTTCTGCTTGAGAGTGCAGTGTTCTAACTGTTTGACCAGCTGCTCCTCGCTGTTGTGTATCACTAGCTTATAATCCTTCGTGCTGCTGCCTTAGACTATCTTAGCTCCCCGTGTGGAATCCAGGCTGCACTTTTGTGTTACAGAAAAATAGCTCCACTGCCCCACAACAAGCATGTCATAAAAGATGACTTATTAGGAATTTGTTGAAAGTGGGTGTGATGGACCTAAAGGTGAACATATCGCATCCTCATTGTAAACTGCCATGACCTCATTGCCTTTGACACTGACAGTACGAGAAAATTGTGAATTAGACATAGCTTTTCTTCTTCTTCTTCACATTCAATGGTTGTAAACTCTAGCGGAAACCTTATTTGTATGCAGACTGTTGGTTCCGTGCCTGTCAGGCGGATGCACCTTGACTTCGAAGGAGGTCCCCAGTTAGTCGAGCTCTTACGACACACTTGTTGGAGAGACAGTGGGTCTAATTTTATTTTCCCACAATGGGGCCTCAGAACCCACAGGTGGAAACATGGCTATTATTAGTAAATATATTCACATCTGTGCCTACTAAACACTGTGCAGGTGCCAACGGAGCCAGTAATATTAAACTGGGCTTTTTTAGAAATAGGGGACTGCAGAGAGGTAAGTTTTCTTGCCATTTACCAATGTGACGGAAAAGCCATTTTTGGGGCTTCATTAGGTGAAATGGTTGAAATAATTTTTATGTGCCTGAGACATCCACTAATACACCCCCACTTGCCAGAGCCACAGGTGAATCCACATGCACTCTCACATAGACACACACACACGGACGCGCACACACACACGCATGCGCGCACACACACCTCCTCCTCCCTCTCTCTCTTCCTCTCTCTTCCTCTCTCTCTCTCTCCTCTCTCTCTCTCTCTCTCTCTCTCTCTCTCTCTCTCTGTCTCTTGTTTCTAGTTGACTGATTGGATGTTTCAGATGCATTCAGAATTGACAGAATATTTCTGTTAGAAACATTAGGAATTGTCTGAGCCTATTCCCCATGTGGATTCTGGGTCTTCCACTGGTGTGTGGGTGAGTGGGGAATAGACTCATTGCTCCCCCCCCTTTCCTTCCAAATAAGCATATCTTAAGAAGTGACTAATTATGGGTGTTTCCTTTGAAGTATGAGTGAATCTGCCTGAGAGGTACAAAACCAACAGTCTGCATAGAAATAAACCAGATCTGTAAACGAAACGTGTGAGCAGAATTTAAGTTCTAGAACAAGACTAGTCCAGGAGTAGATGAACAACTAGAGCTGTCCACCGGAGTTTACAGCCGGTGAACGCTAGGAAGCAGAAAAATAATAAGCAGATACAGAAGAATCATAAACACATAATCATGTTAGTTTTGTTGACTAAATGAATGCATAAATCTCAGATGTACATCAGTAAGTTGTAATTTCTACTGTTCTAGATGGGCATGGCTAACTTGAAACGAGCATATGGCCAGATGTCTGACCAGGCAGCTGACAACTCTGGCTATCCAAACGAGTACTCAGAAGGTCAAGGCTACATGGATGCTTACAAGAGAAACCGTTTATATTAAATGATCATTATGTTTTAATATGTCAGCCTGTATGTGTGGTAAATGACACTCTGTATGTAACCAATACATTGATTAAAAAAAAAAGAAAAGTAAAAACCCTTGGGTGTTTGGTCATTCTTTATCCATGCGTCAAACTGCAGTGACTGTTACCTTGCATTTGTTGATGTTTTCCTATTCATCTGTTTCAGTGTTCTAGTCTCTAGTCTGTGTCGGACTAGTTTGTCCCTTTTCTCTGACACTGTGACTCTATTGATGTTTGTCATCATTACTTACTTAGTTGATCATCTTCTGCCTTGGGTGTCTAAGAGTTTTGCCAGAGAGATTGCCAGACTTTGCAGCCCATTGCAGTCTTCTGTCAGTCTGGGACTGTCTGTTGTTGACTTCTCTGCAAACCATGGGTCACCTTGGTGGTCTGGTTACTTGTTTCTTGGCATCCCATGCCTGCCGTGGTGGCCGATTCTCTACTAATCTGCATCCCTGTCCAGACCATCGTCACTGTGACTGAACCACTCATGTTTATTAAGGCCTGGGTTTAAAGATCATGATGTATTGTCTGATTGCGAACTTTGTTCCTTCTCATCACTTGGGTCACCGTTTTCAAATACCTCAGTTCTGAGCCTGGCTTCTTTGGGAGCCACTGCACTAAAGTACAACTGCTCTGAGTTGGAAAGTGTTGTCCCCATAAAGAATTGGCAGATCTTAGTTATTTGGGAGCCACTGCACTAAAGTACACCTGCCCTGAGTTAAAAAGTGTTGTCCTCATATATAATTGGCAGATCTTAGTTATTTGGGAGCCACTGCAGTAAAGTACACCTGCCCTGGGTCAGAAAGTGTTGTCCCCATATAGAATTGGCAGATCTTAGTTATTTGGGAGCCACTGCATTAAAGTACACCTGCCCTGGGTTAAAAAGTGTTGTCCCCATATAGAATTGGCAGATCTTAGTTATTTGGGAGCCACTGCATTAAAGTACACCTGCCCTGGGTTAGAAAGTGTTGTCCCCATATAGAAGTTGCAGATCTTAGTTATTTGGGAGCCACTGCACTAAAGTACACCTGCCCTGAGTTGGAAAGTGTTGTCCCCATATAGAATTGGCAGATCTTAGTTATTTGGGAGCCACTGCACTAAAGTACACCTGCCCTGAGTTAAAAAGTGTTGTCCCCATATAGTATTGGCAGATCTTAGTTATTTGTGAGCCACTGCACTAAAGTACACCTGCCCTAAGTTAAAAAGTGTTGTCCTCATATATAATTGGCAGGTCTTAGTTATTTGGGAGCCACTGCATTAAAGTACACCTGTCCTGTGTTAGAATGTGTTGTCCCCATAAAGAATTGGCAGATCTTAGTTATTTGGGAGCCACTGCATTAAAGTACACCTGCCCTGGGTTAGAACGTGTTGTCCCCATAAAGAATTGGCAGATCTTAGTTATTTGGGAGCCACTGCATTAAAGTACACCTACCCTGGGTTAGAAAGTGTTGTCCCCATATAGAATTGGCAGACCTTAGTTATTTGGGAGCCACTGCACTAAAGTACACCTGTCCTGAGTTGGAAAGTGTTGTCCCCATATAGTATTGGCAGATCTTAGTTATTTGGGAGCCACTGCACTAAAGTACACCTGCCCTGAGTTAAAAAGTGTTGTCCTCATATATAATTGGCAGATTTTAGTTATTTGGGAGCCACTGCACTAAAGTACAACTGCTCTGAGTTGGAAAGTGTTGTCCCCATAAAGAATTGGCAGATCTTAGTTATTTGGGAGCCACTGCACTGAAGTTCAAGTGCCCTGAGTTTAAAAGTGTTGTCCCCATAAAGAATTGGCAGATCTTAGTTATTTGGGAGCCACTGCACTAAAGTACACCTGCCCTGAGTTAAAAAGTGTTGTCCTCATATATAATTGGCAGATCTTAGTTATTTGGGAGCCACTGCATTAAAGTACACCTGCCCTGGGTTAGAAAGTGTTGTCCCCATAGAGAATTGGCAGACCTTAGTTATTTGGGAGCCACTGCACTAAAGTACATCTGCCCTGAGTTGGAAAGTGTTGTCCCCATATGGAATTGGCAGATCTTAGTTATTTTAGAGCCACTGCACTAAAGTACACCTGCCCTGAGTTAGAAAGTGTTGTCCCCATATAGTATTGGCAGATCTTAGTTATTTGGGAGCCACTGCACTAAAGTACACCTGCCCTGAGTTAAAAAGTGTTGTCCCCATATAGAATTGGCAGATCTTAGTTATTTGGGAGCCACTGCACTAAAGTACAACTGCCCTGAGTTAGAACGTGTTGTCCCCATATAGAATTGGCAGATCTTAGTTATTTGGGAGCCACTGCATTAAAGTACACCTACCCTGGGTTAGAAAGTGTTGTCCCCATATAGAATTGGCAGACCTTAGTTATTTGGGAGCCACTGCACTAAAGTACACCTGTCCTGAGTTGGAAAGTGTTGTCCCCATATAGTATTGGCAGATCTTAGTTATTTGGGAGCCACTGCACTAAAGTACACCTGCCCTGAGTTAAAAAGTGTTGTCCTCATATATAATTGGCAGATTTTAGTTATTTGGGAGCCACTGCACTAAAGTACAACTGCTCTGAGTTGGAAAGTGTTGTCCCCATAAAGAATTGGCAGATCTTAGTTATTTGGGAGCCACTGCACTGAAGTACAAGTGCCCTGAGTTTAAAAGTGTTGTCCCCATAAAGAATTGGCAGATCTTAGTTATTTGGGAGCCACTGCACTAAAGTACACCTGCCCTGAGTTAAAAAGTGTTGTCCCCATATGGAATTGGCAGATCTTAGTTATTTTAGAGCCACTGCACTAAAGTACACCTGCCCTGAGTTAGAAAGTGTTGTCCCCATATAGTATTGGCAGATCTTAGTTATTTGGGAGCCACTGCACTAAAGTACACCTGCCCTGAGTTAAAAAGTGTTGTCCCCATATAGAATTGGCAGATCTTAGTTATTTGGGAGCCACTGCACTATAAAGTACAACTGCCCTGAGTTAGAACGTGTTGTCCCCATATAGAATTGGCAGATCTTAGTTATTTGGGAGCCATTGCATTAAAGTACACCTACCCTGGGTTAGAAAGTGTTGTCCCCATATAGAATTGGCAGACCTTAGTTATTTGGGAGCCACTGCACTAAAGTACACCTGTCCTGAGTTGGAAAGTGTTGTCCCCATATAGTATTGGCAGATCTTAGTTATTTGGGAGCCACTGCACTAAAGTACACCTGCCCTGAGTTAAAAAGTGTTGTCCTCATATATAATTGGCAAATTTTAGTTATTTGGGAGCCACTGCACTAAAGTACAACTGCTCTGAGTTGGAAAGTGTTGTCCCCATAAAGAATTGGCAGATCTTAGTTATTTGTGAGCCACTGCACTGAAGTACAAGTGCCCTGAGTTAAAAAGTGTTGTCCCCATAAAGAATTGGCAGATCTTAGTTATTTGGGAGCCACTGCACTAAAGTACACCTGCCCTGAGTTAAAAAGTGTTGTCCTCATATATAATTGGCAGATCTTAGTTATTTGGGAGCCACTGCATTAAAGTACACCTGCCCTGGGTAAGAAAGTGTTGTCCCCATAGAGAATTGGCAGACCTTAGTTATTTGGGAGCCACTGCACTAAAGTACATCTGCCCTGAGTTGGAAAGTGTTGTCCCCATATGGAATTGGCAGATCTTAGTTATTTTAGAGCCACTGCACTAAAGTACACCTGCCCTGAGTTAGAAAGTGTTGTCCCCATATAGTATTGGCAGATCTTAGTTATTTGGGAGCCACTGCACTAAAGTACACCTGCCCTGAGTTAAAAAGTGTTGTCCCCATAAAGAATTGGCAGATCTGAGTTATTTGGGAGCCACTGCACTAAAGTACACCTGCCCTGAGTTAGAAAGTGTTGTCCCCATATAGAATTGGCAGATCTTAGTTATTTGGGAGCCACTGCACTAAAGTACAACTGCCCTGAGTTAAACAGTGTTGTCCCCATAAAGAATTGGCAGATCTGAGTTATTTGGGAGCCACTGCACTAAAGTACACCTGCCCTGGGTTAAAAAGTGTTGTCCCCATAAAGAATTAGCAGATCTTAGTTATTTGGGAGCCACTGCACTAAATTACACCTGCCCTGAGTTGGAAAGTGTTGTCCCCATATAGAATAAGCAGATCTTAGTTATTTGGGAGCCGCTGCACTAAAGTACACCTGCCCTGAGTTAAAAAGTGTTGTCCCCATATAGTATTGGCAGATCTTAGTTATTTGGGAGCCACTGCATTTAAGTACACTTGCCCTGAGTTGGAAAGTGTTGTCCCCATCTGGGTTCCAGGGCTTCATTATGGGGAAAACACTAGACGCTCCACAACAAGCATGTCGTAGGTGTCGACAATTTGGCGGCGGCCTTCAAGGTTGGAGTGCATTTGCCAGGAACCAAGAGTCTGCATTCAGATAAGCCAGATGTGTGAAATGGATGTGCACACATCACTCAGGTTCTGGAACAAGACTAAAATCTGGAAATGGATGAACACCCAGAACTTTCCTCCAGAGTTAACAGCCGGTGAACGTGAAGAAGAAAAAGCCTAAAGTTTTTAAGATACAACTGTGTGGTATTGAAAGAGTCAAAGTTAATTCCTGTAAACAGGCAAATTATTTTATTTTGTTGCTGTTGTACTGTAATCATTATATTAAGTAGTTACCTTATTTTTCCATCGATAAAAATACGATTTCCAATTTTTTTTTTTCAGTATAAAATTGGGGCTCATCTTGTACATGAATCTTGTTTACGGTATTTATTTGTAAATGGATAGAGAAATCCACATACGATGTGCTAAAGTTAATCAGGTTATGGGACAATTAACACTGCTTCTGATGCATAGAATGATACCTCTGTCAACCAAAGCAAATATAATTAAAACAGTTTTGTGGCCGACATTCTGCTACAAGTGCCAAACAGGGACCCTTACTACAACTAATGAGCTGAAGATCATAACAACAAAGATGAGATGTCTTAGGAGAGCTGCCTGTGTGACAAGA